TGTGCGGACGCGCGCGCTCGGACACTCCGCGCGTCACGTCGCGGAGCCGCGCGCGACGCGCGAGCGCTAGAGTCGGGGGCCCCCCACCCCGGGTTATTTAGGTTCCTGGGCGAAACGTGGCGGATCCGGCGGTTTTACCGCGTGACGCGTTTATTTTTCTTCTCGCCCGCAAACGACTTTTATCCCCGGAAATCTCGCTCCGATCGAAACACGACGAGTTGTCTATTTTTTGTTACATTTTCACTCTAGTCGGTGCTTGGAAAAAGAAAAAAAAACAAATTCTCATTGATATTCGATAAACCGAGGAAAAACCGGTTCTTTATGTTAAAAAATTAAACTAAAAGATCCAACCGAACAATTTTCAACCGTCATTATTTATTTTTTGTTATTATGAGGTTTTTTTTTTATTTTAATATTTCGTAGTTTTTCAAAGAATCGTTATTGTCGCAAAAACGCACATTGTTTTAACGGCAATGCTGTGTTTACCGAGTTCCGCTCATAAATTAAATTCCCCTTTATGTCTTACGTTCCCGACTTCTCATCAACAACAGTGACCCACCCGTGCAGATGCGAAACACGTTCGTCCGTTTTTTTTTTTTTTTTTATTATTTTACAATTAGTATTTGTATTTCTGAATCCGAGGTCGGGGCCCGAGCCCTCTATGAACTGCCGCGAGTAGAATTTCGCCGTTCCAATACGCCAGAAACGTTGTGTTCGATAGGAAACTATTATTTAGATACGATAGAACCTCATTAATCCGGATCGATTGGGGCTCAATAGGTTGTCCGGATTAACGAAACTCCGGATTAAATAAAATTACCCGAACACCGTGAAATTTCGTTTCAAAAGTTTACCGGCTTCAACAAATGAGAAGAAAAAAAAAAAAACAACCGCGCATGAATCGTAAATTTAAGAATTTGCGTTACAATATGCGTCGTTTATAAAATAATAATCGCGATGATCTATATGCATTTAAGGGGAAAATCGCGGAACTCGTTCGGTCGTTTACATGTTTGCTCTGGTCTGCGGCACAAACAGCATGGTTTACGCGTTATTAACCGGCCATCCGGATTAAGGAGCGAGGGTCCGTTTTTTTTTTTCGAGGTCCGTCTCTAATGACGTTCTACTATACGTAATATATAAATATATATGGGTAGGACACGGAGTCGCCACCTACGGCCGTTGATATCCGATTCAATGTACGTTGGAGAAACAACTCAAAACGGAACCACCGGGCGCACGCCGTTGAGCGTGAGCTTGTCGATAGAATTCGGCCGGGTCGCTGGAAATTTAACGGCCGGACCACCGGCACTGGCCACCGGACGCCGTGAGAGCGGAATTATTCAATCGCACAGTTTGGATTTCATTGATGGACCGCGGAGCGGACAATAATATTAGTATTTACGTTTTAAAATCGCATTGTCCCGTAATTGCAGCCGTTCTACGCCATCCGTCTGTTTTGCAACAATATTGATATCACCCGGTAAACTGATTATCGCAGATATGAATGACCATATTCAAGGCAATCGAATTAAAAAAATTACGCCGTTTACGAATACGGTACATCATGAGTGAGAAGCCATAGCGCGGATATTAAACCCGTAGGCGCGGTGATTCTACACTACGGGGTAATTATTATGTTACCGGGTTTATATGCGTAGGCACTATTGTTGGCAACAATAAAATCATCGAAAATTATCGAAAAATATATATTGATTTGTTTATAACAACAATTGTTTACGATTATTTGTGTTTTTAACGAATTCAGTCGTACATTTGAACTTTACGCGCCTACACACACACATTGATTTTTTACCGCTCAACACAGCTATTATATCGTATCAAATGTTTGAGCCATTTTACGTAGATTAAAAAAAAGTAATCTAGTGTATAACACTATAATAATCACGATAAACACAAATCCTCAAACGTTTTAAAGTTTAAATCAAGGACGGAAAACGTTTTTAATCGAAGCGGAGGTGGCTGAAGAAAAATATTACAACCCCCCCCCTTCGTTTCCCTAGACACGGTCATATTATTGTCAGGCATAACTTTGATGAGAAAAGTAAAAGGTAAACCATTGTTGTAGTGTTGTATCGGACAGTCTCCTTTAAACCCAACGATAAAATATCATTGCAAACGGTTCTCTGAGTGGGGTTCTCGGTTAGCAAAGTTATATTACTAGACGTATAATATTCCGTAAATCGGGTAAATTCGGTTTAACCGAACGTTTATGAGCAGTACGTTACGTATTTTAACGTATCGGATTAGGTGACCTACCTGTCGGTTTTTCTCTCCGCGAAATGTGTATGCGTAACGGTATTAAGACTTTAATTTTTTTTTTTTTTTTTTTCTTAGAAAATCTCCAATATTTTGACATTATTACCGAACGAGACCGACGACGTGCAGGTCTCGAAACGGCGGCGACGGCGTGACGCTCCCCGACGATAAAAAAATATAAATTTGTGTAGCGTGTACCTACTGTAATAATAGTTTTTTACCAGACCGGCGTCGGGCCACCTATTGAATGGGAAATGTTTACCTACCCGATTGTACAGTCAGACTGCCCTCCAAAATGAACGAGCAATATCTTCGAAAATCCAACTGTATTGTGAAGATGAAATTTTCGGTCTCTCTGTTTTTACCGTTTTTTTTTTTCTTTTTTTTTTTTATATTTTACGGAGAGTGTATTAGTTACTAAAATATTATGTGCGCTCTAATTGTCGGTGTATTACTTTTCGACCGAAAATCTTGCTCCGATTATCTACTTCAGGGGTGGCTTCTGGTAAAAAATTTGAATCTAGTTAAAGTATCGAAAAGATAATTTCTTGGTTTTTTTTTTATCGTTTTCTTAACAATATTGGGAAAAAAACGTTGGAAAATCAGAAATATTTACTCGTTAAAGTTATTTGTTATTCATATTTTTGTTTCAATTCAGTTAAAAAAAATCGTTGAGACCTTACATTCACACAAAATTCTATTATTAGCCTTTTTTAGAGGTACTATTTTCTAAGCATTCTAGTGGTTTTAAAACTGTAATTGCTTGAGTGGCTATTAATAGCCATTTGAAATTTTCGGTTTCTATTTAATTTTATACGGATAAAATTGTTTGGATTTTTCAAAAATGCTTGAACATTTAGAACAATTGTTATAATCTTATGGCGAAACTATGGCAAATTATTATTTTTTTTTTTCCATAACCGTTTCTTATTCAAATTTTGACGTGTATCGTAAAAATCCATGTATTTTCTATACCTGTTGGATTCATAAAAATACTCGAAAACTCAATTTTCAGTATCTTTACTCCGGGGCTGTTACGAAGTCACGCGGACTTGACGCAATACCATTTTTTATCAGTTAAGAACGGTAAGATTACTATAGGCGAATACTGCACAATCGGTAAATCGGTTTACCACACAGAGACTGTAACCAGTAAACCGGTCACTGTCCGGTGAGCGGCGCGTACCGCAACATCATCCCCAATCGGGCGGTTTTTCCATTGTTGTTTGTTTGGTCGTTACGACACACGCGCGTTCAAATCAAATTGATTTCGTAATTCCCGGGGTAGTTTTTACAGCGCCTTTTCGCCCTCGCAGAAACGTGTCGTTCAATAACCGCGCGCGAAAACCTATATTGCGGGCCGTTTTGGACAACACAATAATGATTATTGACGTTCGCCGCGGATTCCGTCTCCAACAAGCGGGCGGAATAATAAAACGGCGTTATCGGTAGACGAGTTTTTTCTCTCACCCGGAATACCGGCCGAAAAAGCGAGGGAGGAAAAAAAAACGCACGCCGTCATAAACATAATAGTAATAATAACAATAACAATATAATAATATAGCGCGAAGGTCTCTGGGCCGTGGCGGCGGCAACGGCTACCTGTGCGATCTTGTCGAGAGCGCGCGCGCGCGCGCGTTCGACGGGAGAGAGAGAGAGAGAGAGAGCGAGTGAGTGAGAGCGAGAAAGAGCGAGCGAGAGAGAGACGCACGTGGCGAAGAATGCAGTTTGTTGTAAATCACGAGAGCGCGCGCGAGCGCGGGGGCCCCGCACCGGCACAATCCTATTGGCGCCATCGACGGTCGGCCGACCGCCGCCGCCGTCGCGCAGGTCTATGCGTTTCTCTGTCCGGCCGCGGCGGCGGTTTGGTCACAGTCGCCGCCGCAGCCGGTCGCGCACACGCGCACGGGCCCGTCGACGTTGACGAAATTTTTATTATTTTTTTTTTTTTTTCCGGAATAAAATCGTTTACCGACCCGCCGGGCTCAGAAACGGGCGCAAAGCGGTCAAAAAGCCGTAACACTATTGCGATAGGCACTGCACATAATCGCGGGCGGGAAAAATCCGAAATTAAAAATGTATACTTTAAAATCCGTATGTTTTTCTTCGTAAAAACCGTTTAACGTACATTATTTTACAGATTCTGAGTGGACCGATAGACAGGAATGTATCGGTTTCACAATGAAGTTTATTATTTTTTTCTGCGGGCCACGTTTATACCGGCAGTTTCGCTCCGATTTTCGATTATAACGCTTTTCCCGAAAGGAAATCTGACTGGAGTGGTACCTATTTGAGGAGGTCGGTTTTTTGATTTTCCCAGCGATAACAAATGGGAAAAACGTAGGAAAATTTACGAAACATATTATTTACAAATCGTGAATATTACGGCCTTTCAATATATGTGTTACTAAACTACGCTCAGAATCGTTTTTCGTTGGCAAAGTTTAATCGTTGCGTAAAGATATATACATTACGAAATATATGCATACATGCCAGGTGGGGATCTGAAACTACCGATTTTCAAAGATAAATTATAAAATAAATAAACGATTAAAAATGAATTATTATTTATTATATTGAAGTACATAACTTGCCATTTATTTTTTAAAAATGATGTCCTCCAGATGATGGCCATCTCTTCTCAAACACTTCTCTAGCCTACTTCGTATATTTTCCGGTACACGGTGTATCACTTCCAAAGGTGTACTGGCGATTTCTTCTTAAATTTTGGTTTTAAATTCATTAACATTTTGAGGTTTCTGTGCATAGACTTTACTTTTTAAGTATCCCCACAAAAAGAAGCCACATACCGATAAATCAGGTGATCGAGGTGGCCAATGAATATCGTCATTTTTGGAAATCGCATTATTTCCAAAAATTTGTTGAATGGCATTTATTGATACTCGGGCCCTGTGAGATGTCGCGCCATCTTGTTGGAACCAAAGTTTTTCAGTTTGAGGAAACTTTGTTAGTTCACCGACCAAAAAATTATCGATCACATTGACATGACTATTTGAATTAACAGTTGTCGTCCTCATGAAAATACTGGCCAATGATGCCATAATGTGAAATTGCACACCACACAGTTACTCGATCCCTGTATAAAGGTCGTTGATTGAATTTGGCGAGGATTTTCTTCAGACCAATAATGACAGTTTTGCTTGTTCCCAAAACCATCAAGATGGAAATGTGCTTCATCAGACATCCAAACATTTTGAATAAAGTTTCCGTTTTCATCCATCCGGGTTAGCATTTCTCGACAAAGAGTTGTGCGGCTATAGAGATCTGTAGATTTTAATTCTTGAACCACCTGCACCTCATACGGGTGAAAGTTTAGGTCACTGCGTAAAATCCGACGTAGACTTCTACTGGAAAAATTTAACGATAACGCATGTTTTCGAGCAGAACGTTTTGGAATCTCTATGAGAGCGGCCCGAACAGCAGAGACGATTTCAGGTATGCGAATGGTTTTTTTTCGTACATGCTTCTTTTTTAATGCTGAACCCGTTTCTTTAAAATTGGTTATCCATATTTTAATGATCTTAGCCGGTGGTACCGAATCATGGCGTTTAAGATTGAAATGAAGACGAAATGAACGCTGTGCGGCCACGTAAATGTCATTATTTTTGTAAAACGATTTTATCGCATGAGCACGTTGTTTACCACTCCACTGTTCCGTGTTTACTAAATGTCATGTTGTCACTGAGTTAATGATATTTAGTGAGAATTTTTATCTTAATGACTACTGAAAACATCTATTTTTAAAATCGGCCGTTTCAGTGCCCCGCCCTGTATACAATAGGTTTAAATAAAAAAACAAAATCTAAAATTTCGAAATTCAAAATCCGTGTGTTCGGATAATCCGGATCTATAAAAGATATTTTAGATAATTCACGTTAATAGGGCGCCTTCTAAGCGGTTAGAGGCAGGAGTACCGTGTCCCCCTTGCGTCCTCCCCTTCCCTTGAACCTCTGTTACTAATACAGTGATGAGTATCGGCGTAAGCCGCGAAATCGTGTATCGGCCGCTATCGAGAATATCGGGGTTTTTTTTTTTTTTTTTTTAAACTCACATTTTCCAGAAAAATACGTCTATGATTTCCCTGATGTATGAAACCAAACAAAAATAATCGGGTTTCAGATTTCGATTTCGAACATCGGAACGATTATTGTATAGGTTTTATATTCGCGGTGCCTAGTATTTACTATCGATGTATTATATTTGGTATCTAAAATCATAGTAATCATTCAGATAATCATTAGTGTCTAATATTGATTTTTAAATAGCACATATCTCCCTTCCCCCATCTACTAATTTCTAAAAATCTACTAATCGACTTTATTCGTGAGCAATATTAGATTAAAAATGTCCAATGCTTTTTTTTTTATTGAATCAAGATTTATAGTAGAAAACAATGTACAATTATGATAACGTTATACGACGTAAATAGTTGTACATTTATTCCTACGAATACTCTAACTTTTTATCGATAATCCTGAAAACCGCTTGTAAGATCAAAAAATGAAATCCTTAAAGTACTATGCAGACAAAATTTCCTTTCGGAAAATGTGTCACATTCGTTACATCGGAGCCAAATTTATGATAGAAAAGTTGTTCACAGAATAATAAAAAAAAAATAATAATAATAAAATCATTGTAAAACGAATAAATTCCTCTCTACGTTCCGAATTTAAAACAAAAACGAAATTCCACCCTGTGTATAAAATACTGAGCATCAATACAAAATCCATAAAACAAGGAAATCATTTACGATTTGTATGATACTATTGTGCTAATTTTACCGTAGAAAAATTCTACCTGGAATGCCCAAAAAATTAATTTTGAAATTGCGCAACTAACATTTGAAAAACAACTAACGATGAAACTTTGTATGGAATTGTCGAACATTTCGGCAACAGAATGTTTGTTTAGTAGCACCGAATATATTCACGACCGTGGCTTGACAATTATATAGAATTAGTCGATTGTATAGATCTCGTATAGGCACATCGTCTACTTTGGGCATTTTTCTCTGGGGTTTAGGTGTGAAATATCGAGTTCACAAGCCCCTAAACGCGGACACTGAATTTAATAATACGCGAGAAGAAAACCGCCGGGAAAACACGACACTGAAAATAAAACCTATCGACGACGATTTCTCGTAAATTTCGTCGGAAGAGCACCAGCAGAGCGCGACCGTCAAAAACGAAATGGACACTTGCCAGACAATAATAATATACTCGTAATATTATATGTTTCAAAATATTAAATATTATAGGAGTGTATATAATGTTGTTATACTTCGCAATGAGTATACTTGGATTTTTTTCCCGATCTAAGAACATTTTTAATACAATCGTTATTCCATTAATACGGGACGACGAATCACTGTAATGTTATAATATTTAAAACGTATTTTATCAGCCCCCTCCCCGCTAAAAATTAACGGTAGTTCTTATTACTTGCACCGTCCACCATCATTTAGTCATTCAGTCCATTGCACTGTATTATGTCCGAGTTTTTCAACTTTCATGATACAGTGAAATTTTTCATGAAATACTTATTCGAAAAAAAAATAAATTATTATAAAAAGACCTTTTGGAATCATGTGTTCTAAAGTGTCACATTATTGTTTTTTTTCTCACCTTTATTTTTGGGAGTGAATACCCGTTTTTGATTTTTAAACAGTACCCGTTATTAAAAATTCCATTAATAGATGCAATTTTAATTTAAATGTATTTCGGTGTTGTCATTATTAATGGAACACTGTTCAAACTCCACGCTCCGTGCCGTCACATAAATAATGCTCCACTCTCTACTACTCTTCCCCTACCTTGTCATTTATCATTTCCGTTGACGAGATAATCCACTTTTAAGTATGGATAGGAGTATTGTGTTACGTATTGTCGGTATCAAAACATTCAAAATGCCCATATCCTTTCTAGATTCTTAGAGGAGCGGAGGAGTTTATGGTTTTGCAATGATGTTTATTTTTTTTGTCTGTGGACAACTTTTTTACCAGTAGTTTTGCTACAATTTTCATCGACAGCACTTTTCTGACCGAAGAAAATCGGTCTGGAGAGGTACTTTAGGGAAGTCATTTTTTGATTTTTTCACAACTTTTCCCAATAAATGGGAAAACCGGGGGAAAAACTCAGGGAAAACGGGAAAATAGGTACAACGTTAAACAAACATCGTAAATGAAAATGTTTATTGCGTACGTAAACATTTTACCGTAATACGACGTACATATTGTTGACAAAGCATCCCGTTCAGAATCGACTTTTCGCTATCAATGATTTATCGTTGCGTACAGGTATACATTAAATTCTTGTCTATACCGTCTACCTTACCAACTCCTCACCGACAACGGCGGCTGCGCCCGTCCCCATTGTCTTGGGACAGCTTTTTTTTTTTTTCGTTCTTGTTTTCTCGTCGCGCTATCGCTGTCGCGGGGTTTTTCTTCCCGGGAATTTTCGTTCCCGGTCCGCGAACGGAAGGACGGTCGGACGCGCACAGCGGGCGCTTTCCAGTAACACGTGGCGCATTTATACGACGCCGAACGATTAATTTGGTTTGACCGAACCGAACCGAACCGAACGGATCCAGACAGTGTGCGCTCGCTCCTCCGGTGGTTTTTTCGCATTTTTGTATTTTAATGGCATGTATTATGTTGTGTGTCGGGCGACGACGAACGTCCGCCGCCGGGACAAAACAGTATAATATTATATTTATTGGTCACGAACCGACAACGACTGCGACGCGATCGCGCGCGTTTGTAGCATTGTTTACGCACACAATTGAATTAATTACGTGAGTTTATTTAAACGATTTGAATAAAATACGAATACGAATAATTATGGACCGTATATACGCACACACGCGACCGTAAAAAAAAAAAAAAAAAAAAAAAAAAATAATAATAATAATAAAAAAAAAAAGAAATAAAAAATCGTTCTAACCTATCGCTGCGGCGGTTACAATAATAATTATTATTATTATGCGGTACCTACTCGAGTGCTCGATTCATAATCGTATATGATAATAGGTGCACGATAAACAACATCAATCCCGTCGTACATAATACGTAGTACGTAGGTACTGCAACAGATGTGTATTTCGGATTTTGTAATATTACGGGACGATCGAAAAACAATATTATTTAAATCGTTTAATCCCACCGAGCTAAACGCTGGTAACGTTTAATATTCCGCGCTTGATACGATGCGTTTACAAAAATACAACAAAAATATCCCGTCGGTTATTGGCCGACATATGTCGGTACGTTATGTCGGTAAAAATTTATGATACAAGCGGTCTTATCGTTTTCGCGATTTACAGTGTAACCGTCAGTGTTACAAAAATTAAAATAGATAGGACATCACTATTGGCTATAATAATTACCCATCCAAAGTTCAGGTACATGAAATATGCCCGTAGACGTAAGTATAGTCTAAAAAACAACACGAGGCTTTAGGCACAGGACTTGAGACGGGACTGTAAAACCCTTCTCCCTCCACAACTGTTATGTCTATTATGTCTGCAAACTAATCATATGTATACAACAGTCTAAGGTTTTACTTTCAATATTTTATTAGGACATTTATCGATTACCATGTCGGCGTCTAGCAGACAACGCTAGAGGCATATCGCTACGATTATGATGCACATTACGATTTTTCGTATATCGAACACATATTGTATATTGTTATAATCGCGCGTGCAAGGTTAAGCAGCGAGTGTATATTGTGTACAATCCAATTTTTTTTTAATTGGGTTATTTCGGGTGGGTTGACACGGGCATTTGCACGAATTCACGATTTTCATAACGGTTTAAACTTTAAACGCTAATTAAATAAAACCACTGCAATACATATTAATTTGTTTTCGCCATAAACCTGTTTTAACACTATATATGTGTATGCGAGCGAATTCAGAGGAAACTCGTGTTAAATTTTCAAATAATTTTGTGAAACAGTTTTACTACTCGCAAAAGAACACTAAATAAATAACTAAAAAATGTCGGTTGCTTGTGCATAGCTCAAAAACCGCCAGAATATTT